TCCTCAGTGGCCACAGCAGCAACAAATTACTTTGGGGTGTTGGGTACCCAAGAGGGAAAAATGTCAGAAAGATAGAAGAAATGAGTAAGAGCCTTCGACTCAATATCCCCTGACAAACAAACTTGTTTAGAAGAACCTCATTCAACAGAAGTGGATGGGCAGTCACCCTGACTCTTCTTGATAGGAGAAAAAGAATGTGAAAGCTCATGAACAAAGAGATCAACCACTATAGTAGTCATCTGTTCCACCTCAGGAGTTGTACCCAGAATAGTAGTCGTAGTTGTCGCCAAAGAAATAATTATGGCGGTGTCTGAACCACTAGAGTAAGGGTAGTCGTAGTAGCAGAAGTCTTCATCACTTGACCCAGGGAGTCAGTTTTAAGACCATGGCCATTGGTAAGCACGAGAAATTTCCACAATTTATCCAGGTTATCTGCAAGATACGAGTGACAATTGTTTTAAAAAAATGTTCCCTAGATCCCCATTCTCACTAAAGAGCTCTTGCCACTCTGCATGGCCGGACGCATTGATAATCACATAATTATCAATATGTTTCTTCTTTCATTGAGAATCATGTACTTCCTCAAGACTAAATCCTTCTTCATAGTCGATCCCCTAATACCAAGTACACATATCCTCCTTCATTTTCACCTCCTTAGAGGATAGAGGACTTAGCCCAGTATGATAAGAAGAAAGGGGCTGATGAAAGTGAAATCGAGACCAATACTTGAAAAAAAACTCTTACAAGAGCGAGTGAATCTAACTAGGGCCAAAGACGAGCATAATGAAGAATTAGCCTTAGGGGTAACATGTTTCACTAGCATGAAACGATCAAGAAAACTACACCAATCTCTAGTAAAAAGAGTCAAACCAAGGGACATTGGGACGAAGGGAGATTAATCCTTGATCCCAGGTGTTATCCTGAGAGGTGTGGGTCACCTAAAAGAGATTAGAAGAGCTTAACACAAGGTTTCTAAGATTTATGCTTGAGACATAGTTGGAACACCTACATGTAAGCCCAAGCTTCTGGATGGAGTTGCAAGGGGGAAACTCTCAGACGGTTCATCACATCCACCTCAAAATAAGAAAAGGAAAACATGCCCCAAACTTGGTAAAGAGGCATTAATATAGAGGATCCAAGCAACCATCAAAAGAGATGCATATCCTTTATCCCAGATCTTCTAGAAGAACCGACTAATCTGAAGGGTTGTCGACCATAACATCAACATTGGTTACAAATACAACAATGTTCATAGTGAAAGGAGTCCCAATGACTTCAGCAGTCACCCAATGGTATTTGTTATCATTATCTGACTAAACTAACCGAACCTCTAATCGGTCCACTTCGTCAGCCTTAAAGTGATGTTTGGGTCTGATCCATGATACAACACTAGACTTTCCATGGTACTCCAAATGGCATGCGATTCAATATCACTAGACTCACGACCATTCATCGCCTGATATAGTCGGACAAAGATACCGACAGGTTCCTTCCTTTACTGGGCAACTTCTATTTATGCATCATTCAAGATAAATGGAGGCACTAGTTTCTTAATAGGATCCTCATTCCCGTCTTCCTTCCCCAAAAGTAGAGCTTCTGAGGAATCCCTAGAAGAAGCTCTTTCAGAAAGGGGTCTCTAGACACTATTTCCATTTTAAAATCATTAATCTGATAGATCATATCCATTAAAGATTCCACTCCCCTTTTCGGAAAGGAAGAAGTGATGCCTCATGAATCACTCTTTATGATAATAGGGCTATCACTCATTTTAACAAATAGACAATAAAATGCTTGAAGAAAATAAGTTTGAGTTGGAAGAAAGCACCTTGAAGGATAAGGTCGAAGGTAGTGAAACGAAGGAGGTCTGAAGTTTGAAGCTTTGAATGCGTGATAACAGTTACTCCAGGGAAAAAGCTCTTAGAGAAGTGGTGAAGACTCAAAGGAAATACGGGAAATTTATTCTAATAGGTTGCAAAAAATTCCCCAATTTCCTATACCCTTATATAAGGAAAAGCAATCGAACGAATCAGATTGAAAGTAAGAAGCAAGTGCACATTAATGGTCAAATTTCACATTGGAAACACAATGAAACTCAACTGCACTCAAGTACATAGTAAGCAGTGTCACACCACTCTATACCTTTTAGGTCAAATGTCAAGAGAAAAATGACGAAACATTTCAATGATAAAACTGCATTTATTGTCGATGTTCCCCATCACTTTTTGGCAAAACTAAAGCAATGCATGTCTGCCAACACATGGATAGCCATTCTTGAAGGCCGACCACGCCTGCTAAAAGACTGCCCCGACATCTAGAGTGACTGCCGAGTCTTGGGGGCAACTATTCTGGGCCTGCCAAAGCCCCGATAAGATAAGTCCCACTTATCATGTCCGCTCCATTGAGTTCAAAGTATAAATACAATTACAAGGGATTTTCAGTTACACAATCTCTAATCTCTACTTCCACTATGATTATCTTGAACCTTAAAATAACTTGAGCGTTGGAGTGCTAATTATGTCGTCACCCCCTCCTTGATCCATCGTACCAGAGATTAATAACACCAATTCAAGATCAACGTCTATAATTTAAGACGTTTCACGACCGCAACCTTCAAATCAAGAAGTTGCGTCCTTGAATCACTTAAGAGTTTGCTCCACAATAACTTTCAGAATATCTTCCTATTTTTAATTCCATCACAGAACAATATATATATATATATATATATATATATATATATATATATATATATATATATATATATATATATATATATATATATATATATATATATATATATATATATAATATAAATGATAGTATTTGAATATATATTTTATAAATATAATGAATGAATACTAAAGTATTTATACCCAATTATTTCCGTTTTACTCTATAAACTCTATAAACAAATAAACCTTAACATTTTACTTGATAAAATAATTATAGTTTCTAGAATCAGATAAGTGGTTCGTTAGACTCTAATTAAGGGCGCCCAACCAAAACCTAATCCACATGATTAGGGCCAACATGATGCCCACACTTCCAATTGTTTAGTTGGCTTCATATTATTAATACGATTAGATATTATTGTAGAGAAGGTTTATTGACATCATTGTCATCGTAAACTTTTTAATTATTCATATATAATATTTTAAAATTAATTAAAATAAAAATTAAATAATTATAAAAATTAAATAGTTAATATTAATTGATGATATAAAACTATTTTACACTATTGGCATATATCAATTAAATTCATTGTAAAATTTCCTCAAACACAACATAACTTCTGCTTAATTATGACCAGTTAACATTTTTACGAAATTAACCTCCTGCTGCCAAACAAAGTTGATGTTTGTTTGTAAACTATGATTAGCTCATATACATTTTTACATAGACAAACAAAGACTTATGAAAGGAATAGTAACGGTTTCATCTTTTTATACACAAATAGTAGGGACATGACCTAATATAGGTAGCACATTTTTGTTAACAATTGAAAGATTTTTCATAATATTGATAACAAATTCAAGTTGTACTAGGACATAGCCTGAGCATTACTAAAAAAAACATCAGATGTTTTACCATATACAAGAAAAGGGTGACATTGCTTATTATAGTTTATTGATACACTAGTGGATGAAATAAGCATGCCTAAATGAATACTTGGTGGGAAAATATTGCTTTAATCACTGATAACGAAAGAAAAATTTAATTAATAGAAATTGAAAGTGATTTTTTTTGTAATAATAATAAAAAAATAATGATAAGATCAAAGAAACAGTGTGAAAATGACCCAATTGTGTAAATGAAGTTTATTAATCTCTTTCAATTTAACAATAGATTTTAGATTGGAATTAGTCCAAAATTATATTATATTAAAACTTTGAATGAGAGTTTTGTTGTTTACAATGGTGCTATTCAAGAGTGTTGAATGAATTTTTCTTTTTATAAACATTTATTAAATAATTGTACATATTAAAAAATTAATAATATAATTAATGTGTACATTTCATGCATAAATATTATTAAATTACTTTTTTTTAGAAATAAAATATTTGTATTTACCAAAAAAAAAACAATTTGAGTACAAATCCATTCTAAAATCCAGCCTAAAGACTAAAGATTAAATTACTTTTTACACACACATATATCAATTATAACTTTTTACATTTGAAATCAAATTATAATTATATTTGGAAAATTATAGACAACTAGCAATTTAAAATAAAGTTTATGATTTAATTTGTTATAAAAAATCTAAAACAAATAATTACCATTTTTAAAAATACTTTTTTAAAGAAATTTATTAAAAACTATAGAAATTATTTCAAATTCATTTGCTATGAATTAAAAAAATAACGTTGATATTCTAGAACTATCATATTCACTTTCAAAGATTTTTCTCTAATAAACTGTTATAATAAAAAGTATTTTAAAAATAAATTATATGTTAAAATATTTAAAATAATTTTAAAAATTTTAACATGCAAAAAGAAAAAATATTTAAATATAATTTTCATAATTTTTAATAAATGATCATATAAAAATGATTTAAAAAGATTCCTTATTATTGTATTAGTAGAGACAGTAATATTTATAAATAGAAATTATATTTAAAAACTAATAGTATAAATTTTGATTGTGCGCTTAATATTTAAAAAAGGATTAAAAAGGAAAGAAGGAGGTGGATTCCTTACTCCCAACGCATCTTAGTTTTGGTTCGGGTTGAGGTTCAGGTTCGGAGCTAGGTTTGGATGAAGACTTTGTGCGGATAAGAACGACCCTAACCTTCTCTCTTGTTTCTCTCTCTAAAAAAATCTCTCTCTACCGCTTCCAAGTCCTACAAGAACCCATTCCCTCCCTTACCCTTCTTTACTTCTTCTCAAACTCTCAACTTCAAACCTCTCTCTCTTCCTTTTCTCTCTCCCTCTCTCTCTCTCAATCAACTCAAACAAACACACTATTCATTTTCTCACATTCAAACCGAACACACACGAATGGCAATTGAAAATCAAGACAACTCCTCTGTCCGAGAAATCAAACCCAAAAACAGAAGAATCATGGTATTTCAATTGTACTAGGTTATTGTTCAGTTTTTTTGGTTTTGTTAATGTTAATGTTAATGTCTTGTGTTTTTAACATTGTATTTTTGTTTTAATTGACTTTTGTTTTGTTCTGTTTTTTTAATTTTTTTTGAATAGGGTGCTGGAGGTCCGGAAGAGGATGATAATAGATGGCCGCCATGGTTGAAGCCTTTGCTGAAAGAAAATTTCTTTGTTCAATGCAAGTTACATGCTGATTCACACAAAAGTGAATGTAACATGTATTGTTTGGATTGTATGAATGGTCCTATATGTTCTCTCTGTCTTGCTTACCATAAAGATCATAGTTTTATTCAGGTTTGTTGTTCATTGTTGAATCAGTTCATCAAAGTCTTAAACTTTCTGCACTAAAACTTAGACATTTTCTTTGATGGGTTGCTTAGATGCGGCTGAAAGTTTCAGCTTTGTTTTCTGTGCTGAGATCTAAACTTTCATTCATTGTTGTCATGTTCCTTAACATTTCAAAAAGAAATTACTTTAAGCTTTTGTTTTAAGCTATTTTGAATGAGTGTTTTAGGTGGGAATGAAGTTTAAGTATTATGGTCTAATGTCAATGTACTAAGTTTGTTTTTGTGTGTGATTTGAACAGATTAGAAGATCTTCATACCATGATGTGATTCGAGTGAACGAGATTCAGAAGGTATTGGACATTACTGGTGTACAAACCTACATTATCAATAGTGCAAGAGTTGTGTTCTTGAATGAAAGGCCTCAGCCAAGGCCAGGGAAAGGTGTCACAAACACTTGTGAAGTTTGCGAGCGTAGTCTCCTAGATTCTTTTCGATTCTGCTCTCTTGGTTGCAAGGTACTTTACTCTGCATTCAATTAGTTAAATTTCAAAGTATCATATGCGCCATTGCGAGGGTTGTGTTTGGTATTCTTGTTCAGCATAACTTTCGTGTCTGTGTCTGTGCCTGTGCGAGATCAATGTATTCTCATCAAAGATGTTTAAGAACTATACAATTTTCAAAAATTGGAATTTGAATTTGATTTAGCTTTCTTTTCAAGCTAAAAGAAAACTTTGTGTGTTAAAATGACTTAAGTTGACTTTTTCATAATGTGTAGTACCCTTTGATTCACGAGACTCTTGTATCTTCAATTTAATCTTTTTCCCTTGATTTCTTCAAAGCATTAAACAAACATGAATATTTGAATATTGACTTTTAATCCTTAATTTTTCAAAATTCAAAACTACCATTCAACAAACCTTCTTTTGGTTAATTGATTAATCAATCAATCAATGTGAATGTAAATTGCAGATTGTAGGAACATCGAAGAATTTCCAGAAGAAAAAGAAACAGATAACAGCAATGGCATCAGATTCTGAAGATTCATACAGTAGTAACAACAGCAACAACAGCAACAACATTCATAGCCGTGAGAAGAAAATCAAAGTTCAAAGCTTCACACCATCAACACCACCTCCAACTTCTGTTAATTACAGAACAGCCAAGAGAAGAAAGGGAATACCACATAGAAGCCCATTGGGGGTAGATTATTGGTATTATTAATAGTTGGTAATTTTATTTTATTTGCTAAAATGACCCTATGTCAAGTACTACTCTTTTTTATTTTATTTTTTTAAAATGTTTTTTCTATAGTGGTTTCTAGTGTTTGGTGTATATAGCAAAAATCCAATAGAAGTGGAGAAAGTTGGGTAGTAGAAAATAAAAGACACCTGTGAAATACTTGGTGGTGCAATTAGCAAAAAAAGGGGGTACGTACCTTTGCTTCTAGCAAAAGAAGTAAGTCTCTTTTTTATATTTAGGTTGTTTTGCTGAAGTAATTATACCTAAGTTTTGTGGTTGATGATGTAAATGTGGGTTAGTAAGAAGTGGAAAAAGGAATGAAAATGTGTACTCCTTGAAAAAGGTGGTATGTCTATATATGGAAATACAAAAATAAAATGGATCTTATCTTATTTTATATATTCTTTTTACATGTACTGCAATTACTTTTATTTACAAGATTACAAGAGATGATTTTCCTCATAATCAGAGGTGTTACTTTAAATTCACTTTTCAACTTAATCTGAGGTTTTAAGTTTAAATTCAGTTTTGAGCATTCTTACTTTTTGGCTAGATGGGTTAGTTTTTATATTTCTTACTTTAAGAGGTTAATTTCTGCAATTTTGTATATTTCTACTAAAATAAATGTCTGTTTCTGTATATTTTTTCTACTTGAAGGATTAATCTCTATTAATTTGTTTTCTCTGCAATTCAATTGTGCATAAATACTCTATTTCTCCTTTCAAAATAATTAACTTTATATTTTCCATTATTTTTTCATATCCTTTTCCATTTAATTTCCTAGAGAAAATTTTTCTGTGTAAACTTATGTGAGTGGTTGTGAATACTGGTGGTGGTGGAGTGGGGTCCACTAAGGTCGGCTAATATGGGATTTGTCGTCAGCGTGTACACGTGTCGAAATATGATTGATGGTTGTGAAAGCAATGTGCATGAGTTCTCGAAAGTAGAGAGTAGGTCGGCCGCCTTAAATCAGAAAAAATATGCTCCAATTATTTTATTTTATTTTAAAATCAGTATTTAAAGAAAAAATTGTTAACACAAAAAAAAAGTAGGTTAATGGTTGAGAACTTGAGATTCGTGATTCTTTTTTAAATGAGATATTATAAAACCAAGGCAGTTCCATAATGTGGGTACCACGGTTATTCTGATCGAATGGTTGAATGGTAGTATCGCATAATTGGACGGTTGTGATTCTCTCCAGGTGAGTCTACCCAGTTATGGACTAGATCCTCCCAAATCAGATGGCCTTGGGATACATACATTAGGCACCTCTTCGTCCAAGAATATTTATAGCATTTTAAAAATCAGAAAATAAGAGATACATCATAAGTGTAAAGTAATGTCAATTAATCAAATTATTTTTATATTTTAAAATTATTTAAAAAATATGATAAATAATTAATGTAAAATTATTTTATATCATCAACGCAATGTTTATTAAACTCTTTAAAAGTAATTGTTTTAAAATAATATATTTAGTTTTTAATATAAATTTAATTAATATATATTAATTACATAAATATATTTTACATAATCAATTGATTATAAATATTCAATATTTGAAGATATTTGATATTTGTTTTAATCACATACAAAATAATATTAGTGAAATTCAATAGCATTTAGATGAGATGTTCGAGATCTATTTCAATTTTTTGAGTTCGAATTCAACCTATATATTTTATATTGACGTGAATAATAATTAAAGTTTTATTATTTGATAATTAATATATTTTTAATATATTTGACAATTAATATATAAATAATGTTAACAATGTGGCCTATTAAGAAATCTATAATAAAAAAATTGTCTTAAAAAATAATAAAAAAATTAATTATATATTTATAATAAGAGCACTCCTATGTGAACACCTAAAATTAAACACCAAATGGACACTATAGAAATATATTTGGTTTGCTATTAATTGAAGTTTAATATGATTTAAAGGAAGAGAAAGAATTATTATTAAACAAGTCAGCCGTATGTACATAGGGTGTCGGACAACTTTAAGGATTTCAAATAACTTTTCTCTTATAATTTTACACGATTTCTAAGATAATTTTGTTTATTTAGTTCTTACCCTTAAAGACATATATTAACATTATTCTTAATGTATTTAATTCATATTATTCGAAGGAAATCTATAACGCAACGGAATATCAAATGAATTTAGAGACTATCAATAAAAACACATCAAACAATTCAATATAATTTTAACGTAGGAAAATATTTTTAATTAGGTGTAAGATATCACGAGACCCGTAGGCTATTTAGTATCTCCACTATAATAAATAATGGATATAAGTAAGATTCTCTTTAACATTAGTTAGAGGCATACATAAACATCATCAAGATCTACTATCAATCTTGGAATACAACAAGAATCAAGAAAGATTAACAAACAAAAAAATTGAGAAATTCGCACCTCACAAATAGAGAATCTGATCTCCATTCAGAATATACTCATATGAGCCATTAATACTATGATGAAATTTCAGGATAATTCGACCATTGGATTATGCGTAAGCTTCGATTTTGTGGGACTGATCTGTGGTGAAATGGGACTACAAGATTTTCACTCTTCTCTCTACTTTTCTTTTGTTATTTCTTACACAATAAATAAGTGATCTAATTCTCTTTGTTGGATAATAACAAAGGCTTACGCACACATGAGCCACTAATCCACATCCATGTGGGCCATTATAAATATGAGGGATAACTCAACAAACTCCCCCAACAAACTAGTTAAAGGGCAATACTAATATGACTTTCGTACGACAAAACTCAAACTTTCTCCTAGGAAACACCTTCGTCAACATATCCGAACCATTGTCCTTGGTGTGAATCTTCTCAAGCTCCATCAACTTAGAATCTAATGCATTATAAATCCAATGATAACGAACATTAATATGCTTCGACCTCGAGTGAAAGAATAAATTCTTCGATAAGTGAATGACATTTTGATTATCACAAAATAAGATATATTTTTCTTTTTTAGTTCCATTGTAAATTTCCTCAACCATAACAACTCTTTTGACTCTTCCATGACGGATATAAACTCGACTTCGGTAGTAGGGAGTGCAACACACTTTTACAATTTTGATTGTCGAGCCACGACTCCCCCGACAAAAGTTACCATATACCCCAAAGTGGATTTTTGATCATCCAAGCTTCCGGTTAGATCCAAATCCTTATACTCAAACAACATAGACTTCTTGCATTCCAAGGTTAGTTTCAAATTCGATGAGCCACACAAATATCTCATCACTCACTTCACGGCCTTCCAATGATCTTTTTCCATATTCGAGAGATAACGACTCACCATTCCCATGGCATGAGCTATATCAGATCTTGTACAAACTGAAAGGTGAGAAAAACACAAGAGAATGAGGGTTTGAATTGGGTTTTCTAACAAGCTTTTCTTCTTGAAAATTATTTCGCAAACTAACTAGAAAGAATAAGACTAAGGAAAGAATAAAATAACTCTTTTGGTTTATACAAGTTCACCTTCAACAAGACTACTCTTGTCCATCCACCAAGGTGATTTTTCCTTCAACAAGGACTTAATCCACTAATATCAACAAATTACAGATATATGGGCTACCCTCTGGTGACTTATAACAACTGTCTAAGAGTCTAAAAAGATACCTTAGCCATCTCAAGTCTACAGACTAATAATCTAGTCACTTGAGGCAATAATCAATTCTAGACAAAATTACATTCAATTGTGTTTACAATGTTTGTTTCTAAAAAGCATATTGACACAAAAATGAAGAGCAAAGTCTCTAATACAAATAATGAGCAACAACTATTTGTATTGAGAATTCTAAGATAAAAACAAATAACGAGCAACAACTCTTTGTGTTTAGTCCCTTAATATCTTAACACAATAATGAACAATAACTCTTGTGTTCTTAATATTTCTCTAGAATAATATTTATGGATGAATATTTGAATAGTGATTCTTCTTTTCTCTTGATGTTTTTTCAGTATTTTAACATTGATTCAAGCTTGATAATGTTGAGTAAATTGTCGTTCTTTCAAATGCTGTTGAGGTCTCTTTATATAGACTTTGAAAAATAAATTATTGGTAGTACAGAAACGTCATTTTCACTTGCCATCTACAGTAACGGTAACATTTCATCGTGGGAGACAACATAGTACAATACGTAAGCATGTAGTGGAATTTGAAGCGTATTGTTTGTACTATATTCTTCGTGGCTAAGTTTCTTTAAACCTTATCTTTTGATGTTTTACTTCTGGCTTGAAGTAGTAAGCTTGGAAGGTATCTCTTTCTGATCTTTATCCCTTTTCTATTTGCTGGATTGATTATGATATGATGAATAAAGATGATCCAAAAGATGCTTCATTATTATAGAGTCAGAGTCTTTCAGATAGTTGAACATTGTCTTCAGATATACAAGCAACATCTAATATGAGGAACAACTTCTTTGTTTGTGAGCGAAAGATTTTCTGATCAATACGTCTTGATCTGATCTTTGATTTCTGATAACAACTTTTTTGAGCCACATATCTGATGTCTGATTTCTAAAGCAAAAGCTTATTTCAGTATATCTAAATTTCTGATTCACACTTTTTGATCTAATCCTTGATTCTTGACTTCTGATTTTGGATTCGAGCTGGGAGCAAAAGATTGTGTCAGCTACTTCTTTGTTTATGATACTTTTCCTTTATGATCTTGATCTCTTTCTCTAGAAGCGTATGCGATTTCTAATCTGAGAGCAGCGCTTTTCTAAGAACACATTTAATTCCTTTTTCGACGAACATTTAACATTCCTTAGAATTGTTAATGTTTCTTTAGAAACGGTCACAATAGTTTTTCTGGTGAGTGTAATGGTTTTTCTGATGATATCTTTAGAAAGACTACCCAGAATCTTGATATCTGCACACTCAATGAAATTATAGAAATTAAAATTGTCTCTCATCAAATATATGTGTTGTTATCATCAAAACATAGAGGTTTAAACATAGATTTAAATCTTGTTCTAACACAAACCATAACATACATAAAACTACCAAAGGACAACGAGTACAAAATGTTCTTCACACTCAACTTTTCT